GTTTTGACCCGAGTTGTAAATTTTTGACTCGGTTGAACCGTTTTGACACGGGTGACACGGTTTACTATAACCCGGTTTTAAACTCTAATAATTTAAGTTGGAGGAAGATCCTTCTTAAGAGTTCCAAGGAATGTATGTTTTTCTTCGGCGGTCTGGAATCTACCATGACCAAATTTGGAACTCGTATCTATGAACTATAAACACAATTGGATATACACGTATATAAGAAAATAACCTTTTAATAACGTGCACACTATGTATAAAATCTCAACAAACCTTAAGTGAAATCTTCTCCAGAGCAGAACGTTTCGTATGAGTTATTAAAGATTTTCTTAGGGTAAGAACACGCCTTTTAACTCCAACACATGCTCCCTTAATCATAACACTAATAAAAAAAATAAACATAATTTATATTAATGGAAAATATTGCATTGATAAATTTACTGAACATATTACTTACAAGTCCTCGTTCACATAACCGTAATGAGGGAATCCACCTAATGGTGTAATCTGTTTCACTGTAAGATCGTATTCGGTTGATGCATTACTCTTGTCATCACCCTTTCCGATGCGATAAATCTTCTTGTTGACTTCAGTCCTGTGATGATATCCATTTTGACCAGCACGCGGAACGGAGTACATAACTCTACATTCATAAGATATAATGTAAAATACCGATTTTTGTTTAACCTTTTAAGAATTATAATTTTTGTATTACCTTGAAGGATGCCATGCTCCTATAAAATATCATTAAAAGTTAATACGTTAATTAATCATTAAAACTACATTTTAAATATCAAAATATCATTTTTTACTTACCAATACAGGCGACCTTTCGTAGACCTTTATGTGTTTTACGAGGAAGTTTCTTTGTTCCCCAACGATGTGTCACCCCTTCGAATCCTTTACCCTTAGTGACTCCAATAACATCGATAAGCTCATCTTGCTCAAAAACAGAACTAATATCGACTGTCTTTTCAAATTTTTCATAGGCCCAGTCAACTTTTTGTTGAATATTACCACCATTGAGTTGAATTTCCATTAGGTGAGCTTTTTTCTGTCCTATTTTCACCTTTAGTATTTGAGTGTGTGCCAACACGCGAACAACTTGGCAATATTTTTTGATTCGCTCAAGTTCTCTGCGAACATCTTTATCTCCTTCTGCATACTTCTTCGCATACTTCGTGAATGCCTTCTTCTTAGAACGATACCAATTCTTATAGAAACGGCGTTTGACCTCATCAGATAAATGTTGGGCCCAAACTGTGGTCAACGCACGGAGACCACGAGGTGTTTCCACATAGCCTACGACACCAACAATGCACATTGGAGGTGTTTCGATCACCGTAACTGCCTCAACAACCTCTTTTTTATGCATCTCTATTTAAGAAATTGTCTATATTTTAAAACTCGTCTATATTTTAATTCTGTCAAATAAATACTCTAAGGACAAAAGGTACTTACTTGAACCAGGTCGGTCCATATCACGAACAACATGAGTCATTCCTGCCTTATAACCAAGAAAGGCAGTTAAATGTACAGGTTTGTTGGGATCGTCTTTTGGAAAAGACTTGACTTTACCACGATGTCGTCTTGCACGCTTACGTGGGAGGAAACCCAAAGAACCATGGCGAGGAGCCTCAAACTTACGATGAGACTGATAAAGGTATAAT